AGCAGAGCATCCAGAGTCTCTGAGATGCCAGGCTGCTGAAAACCAGCATTCATTATATCCACTATTCATTAATGATCTGTTAGTATGAGCTATTCCCAGATTAAAAAGCCAGAAGGTTTTTCTGTAGAACTTGAGACAGAATTTCACTCCGTCGTTACATCACAGCACTCGTCTATCACAGTTGAGCTGGGATGTCTGTATTTCAAGAGGCATCCAATCTGCATTTTTAGATGGAGGGTCATCTGAATCCTTTGTTAAATATATGGCAGACATGTTTACATGTATCAGCAAGAAGTCACAGGTCTGGGTGTGCACCAAAGTGCCCAGTGCTCCTCTGAGTATTTCTAAGTGGGGAAAGAATAACTTGATACTTGCACGTGCTAATAGCCATGTCTGTTTAGATATTAGTGGAGACAAATCATGTATTGTGATAGCAAGAGCACTGGTATTCTGAATGAGTCTTTCAGTAAGAGATCCTATCCCAGTTGACGTCAGCAGGGTAGCTCAATTTACACCAGCTTCAATTCTGGGGCCATTTTTTGCCTCTTGGTTTATTCACTGGGGCTGCCGACCATGGGAGAATTTGAGTGTTACAGTGCAGTCAGCTTTGTAAAAATTGTGTGAAGGACTCAAAGAAATGCAGCACTCTTTAGCACGAGAAGCAACAAAGAGAACATGTTTATGGTTGGTGTTGTACTTTTCCTTGAGTCCAGGACTGGCTGAGATTTTGGAAATTCTGCAATCAGCCCTGGAAATGCAGTGGATATCTGTTATTCCCCATTGTGTGGCAGACAGTCCAATTCCAGGTGTCTGAGGTGGCTAAATTAGAGGTCAGCTTGTTGTGGGCCCCTGTGTATGACCAAAGGATTGAGGGACACCTCTTCCTTGGGTTGTCTGAGTAGAATTGTAGAATATCCAGAGTTGGAAGGGGCTGATAAGGATCATTGATTCCAACTCCTGGCTCCACACATGTGTCTAGAGATAAATGTAATGAACTCAAGCTGAGCAACTACCACGACAGTTCAGCAGGACCATGGAGCCAGTGCTGACCTAGGCAGGCCCAAAGTCATTGCCAAAAAATACAGAAGGAAGGTGAAGGCTGAAATCAGAGCAGATTGCATACAGCCTCTGCAAAGTAGGGTTCTTAACAAAAAAAGGTCACTCCAGACAGAGGCTGAGTGGGTCACCTAGTGACTTCTGGGGAAGGAAGCTCTAAAAGTTGAATGCAGGACATTCAGCCAGTAAAGCCAATGTTGTAGAGAATAAACTGTTAGGCTGGTGATGACAAGTTGCGTGCATCCTGTTTCGAAACAACAAAAAAAAGAGCAATGGCTTTTCCAGGGCAGTACTGAACCCAAGGCTCAAGGCACCATTTTTAAAGAAGTGTCCATTAATTACAGTCAATATTCTCTAATGCCAGAGATTGAGCCAGAAAAACTTACCCACTTTGCTTCCAACCGCTAAACCTTTCCTTCCCTCATCACCACTGATGCCCGTTCAGCTGCTGGGTGCAAATGCAGGCTGAACCTTCCTTCTTGCAGTTTTCCCTTCATGGTTTTGTTTTCCATTTGCCTGCAATCACAGCCCCAGAGTCCTGCTTCAACCCCAGCCTCTTGCTCATAGCTCTCCAACATCCTCCCAATTCCAGCCACATTCTTTCCCCACTCTTGTCGCTGTCACACAAGTTTAGCCTCCAAATCTGGATGTCAGCAGGCACTGTTTGTCATAATTACTCCTCCAACCTCACCCCACAAAGAATCTGTTTTCAAACAGACGCAAACTCATTAGCTGTTTTACAGACTTGTTGTTACACTGATGGCTCATTTGTTTCAGGATCCAGAGTGAACTTCTGGAAAAGCTTTCAGCTTTCAGCTGTAGAGAACTGGTGTGGTGTAATACAGCGAGATATTTTTAGGGTTTTATTTTTCTTCTCATAAATAATGGTAATCAGCCTTTGTATGTGTTGAAAAGATCACAAGGAGATGACACTGTAGCACGGAGGCTTGGCTGCAATGGAAAGAGCAGCACGTCGTTATTTTTTGGGACAGGTGCAGGGTGATCATCACTCGCCTGGTGATTAGCACAGTGGATTTTGTGTTGGGTGAGCAGCAGCAGAAAGGAATCACAGATCCAGCCAGGTGATCTGCTATTCCCTGCTGCAGAGCTTTGGCTCTGGAAGAAAGAAAATTGGAAGGAAAACACTGTTGAAATATTTGCTAAGGAGACTGTGGCTTATCTGGAACATCTGTCGCTGAGCAAGCCATGGCTGTTGAGTTTATATACTTCAACATAAGTGCTTAATAAAAATTAAAAGGAAAAAAAGAAAAGAGGGAAGGGATTAATGTTTTAAACAGCTCTTCTGAAGCAGAACCACACAGAGGACATGGAGGGAAAGGAGAGCAGTTCACCACCTCTCTTTTGGTGACGAGGGTGGAAACCACTCCCTCTGAGCTCATATCCCAGGCTCCCTTTACAGCCTCTGAGGAAAAACAGGCACTTTTAAGGTATGATTCATGTGCCCTGTTTATGTGTCTACTTCAGGAGGAGATAAATCATGCCTGGTACTCCATGCGATGCAGTGATGGCACTGGGAAACAAAACACTGCCAGTGCCCTGCCACCAACTGGGACGTTTCCTCGGTATTAAACTCTTCTCACCTTCACAATAGGGGGCCCCATCTCAACAGCCTGTTGGTACACTGCTTATCTTACCACTAACCCATGCCAGAGAATGGTTTGAGAAGGACATGAGGCACAGCTGAGCCAAGGAATGGGTAGATCTTTCCCAAGGTGTTCCCCAGAAAGCATTCACTCAGATAGCGGCTATTCTGGGCACATCTTCCCCAGTTCTGAAGTAGAGACATCTGCATTTAGTCAGCCAAATCTTTTCTAAATGTTATTTTAAAAGGCTGCTGGCAATGTACTCTTGTCTGATTTTTTAATTATTTTTTTCTCAGAAAAGCACAGTAACCATTATGAAGACAAATGTAAAAACAAGCAGAGGAAAATAATAAAAGAGATGCAGACAGTGCCCCTAAAAATTTAGGTTATTAATACCTGAACATGTTTTGACTATATGTTACTGACATGAAGATAAACAATTGTAATGAACAGAAATATCTTCATGCTGGAGATTGAGAGAGGGGAGGACTCCTTATAAACAGGACAGAGTGACTTTTCACATGGTCTGACAGTGATAGCAAAAGGGGGGAATGGTTTTAGAATAAAAGAGGGGAGATGAGGATCTCTTTTAGGGGGAATTTCTTTGATGAGAGGGTGATGAAGCAGTGATACAGGCTGCCCGGAGAGGTTGTGTATGCCCCATCCTTTGAGCTGTTCAAGGCCAGGTTAGCCATCTGATGCCTGATTAAATGTTTGGCACCCATGTCCAGGGCAGGAAGTTGGAACTAAGTGATCTTTGAGGTCCCTTCCAACCCAAGACATTCCATGGTTCCATGATTCCACAAAAGGCGTAAGTTCCAGAGAAGAGTCATGGAGATGAAGAAACATAAGAAAGAGTGTGACTGCTCCAAAGCAGGTGATATGCCTGGGATAGCTAAGGGTAGGACACAGCAGTCACCAGTGGAGGTGTTCCAGAACCATGTGGAGATGTGGCACTGAGGGATGTGGTCAGTGGGCATAGTGGGAGTGGGTTGACAGCTGGAGTTGCTGATCTTAGAGGTCTTTTCCAAGCTTAATGGTTCTATGATAAACCTGAAGTTTTTCCTGTACCCCGTTTTCTCTGATTTTGGGACTAGACTCTTTCTTCTTTATGCACCAGAAGAGGCCGTAGGTTTTTTCTTATCACAGCTGCATACGGAGCAGATGCTTCAGTGGTGTAGAATGTGCAAACATCACGATGTTCCAAGTTCAGAGAGGAACTGGGGAGATCTTGGAAGAGACTGAACCCAGAAGGGATTCCCTCTAATCTTCTCACATGCAGACACACACAGCCTCCCTGCCATGGGGCTCTCCATACTTTGCTTTGGAATTCACCCAACAAAGGGATGGGGCTGCTGCCACACAACCAGGATGGTGGATTTTTACGAGAGGTGGTCTGGGGAGACCTAGAGAGCCTGGCGTACATCAGATCCCCATGATTATTATTGCTACCATACAAAACAAGAGCAGCCACACAGAATAATTCAACTCAAATTGAGCTGTACTGACAGTGAGCTTAAGCCCAAGCACTTCTGTAATTCTCTGCTCAGTAAATTATATCCTCCCATTAACTTTTTAGACCAGAAGAGACTTACTTAATTTTTGTGGAGGGGTGCTGGAAATCTTTGTTGTGTTTCAACAAGTGTTCAAGTATCAGGAGATATGCAGTGGGGGCCTGGCTGCAATGGGGAACAGGTTTGAGATGATCCTGGGATGATTACATATTGCTTCTCATGTTGGTTTCTTTATGATTCAGCTTTTTCCATCCAGTGTAGTTCAGGTTGGAGAAATTAGGAGAAATTTCTCTTTCAAAAGAGTGGTGATGCATTGGCATAGGCTGCCCAGGGAGGTGGTGGGGTCACTGGAGGTGTTCCAGAGCCATGGAGATGTGGCACTGAATGGACATGGTGGGCATGGATCAATGGTTGGATTTGGTGGTCTTTTCCGATCGTAGTGATTCTGTGACTCTGTGATTCAGCTCCTTTTGCCCTGGTGTTGTTTACCTTTTTAATAAGTCCCTTCACCACCTAACACATCTAAAAACATTCATGCATTGAACCTTACTAAACTTACTTCAACCTTCTTTCTTCTCTGAGCTACAAAATGTGACCAGTTGGCCAACTGTCAGTCCCAGTGGCTTTGATGCTTGGGGATGGCCAAGTCCAGCAGCAGTGTTACAGCAGTGATGGTCCTCCTCTAGCATTTTTCCTCACATTGTGCCACAGCAGCACCACTTTGTCTCCATTTTTGAAGATCTGCCAGGTGGAAAAGGAGAGGGGAAAGCAATCTTCATCTTCACTAATTAATTTTTTCTGCCACTCAGCACTGATGCGTTGTTGATCAAAAGCCTATCTTTGGTCACAATGAGGAAAGGGTTTGTAGATCTCGACAGACTGCCAAGCCCCAGTGCAGCACAGAATTAAGTGAAGAAAAGACTAGGATCCTACAGGTGTTGGAATAATGATTTATGAGCATTTCACACCAGAGAATTGTGCAGCACATTTCTGTCCTAACCATTAATTACAACTGCAGGCCCTCTGCTGAGGTGCCAAGATGCGTTGTAGCAGCAATTAGAATTTTTCCCTCAGCACTTTTTATCCCCAATGGAAAACAGCTTCTTAGTGAAAAGGGAATGTTTATCAAGATGCCTTTTTTTGATAGAAAGGAAAGATTCCCTATATTTTTTTTGTTCTGAAAAAACTTAAAAACAATCTTTTCACTCTCACTTCTCATAGATAAAAAAGTAAGCATAGATTAGATACAAACTATTCAGTGTAAATAGATTAGTCCAATACAATTATATAGTCATATTTATTTTTTATAAGAAAAGCCTGAAGGATTACAAAAACCAAAAACAGCAATATTCCTCATGGTGCCTGTTTCTTTGGTTGCAGAACTAATTGCTCTCCAGCAGTCTTTGCCTTTTTCCTAACAGCCACACATCAGCCCCACAAGAGAAAAGAGGACCCGGGAGTCTTTGCAACAAGTTTTGTGTGTTAAAAAGCCTTTTACCTATACCCAAACCAACGGTTCACTATGCTCTGGCCTTACAGCTCCTAGGAGTGTCATCACCATTTGGCACCATTTGGACTGAGCTTTCTCTTGGGAATCAATTTCTAAAGTTACCGTCTCCAAGTGCTCAGTCTTGATGCTAAATGTGAAAGGATGTGCCAATGCTAATATTGTTATTGACATTTCTGTGTAGGAAAAAGACAGACGATGAAAAGAATATGAGAAACATTCAGCATAGAATTCCTTTAGATAGCCACAGGGCAGGAATCTTTCTGTATCGTTACAAATAATGGAGATCTAGTGAATGCTATTGACATACATCAGGCACTACTTAAGTCCACATAAAAGTAGGCATTTAAAATAGAGCCAATCATGGCTGAAAACATCTATTTTTCCTCTTTGGCTACAAAGGGAGTGCAGAGCTTGAATTTTGATATCTAAGATGACTTTGGAATGTCCTTGGGGAAAAAAAACCCCAACAGATAACTCAGAATATGTCTTCCTTTTCATGTTGTATCCCACCAGGTGTTGTTGCTTAGCCTTGTTACAGCATTTTCCATTTGTTCATATTGCTTTTTGCAAAAGTGCTTCTTCAGCCTAGTCATGTAGACAGTAAGGGAGAATGTTGCCCCACTGGGGATCAAGCAATAAGTTATATTGTTTCCTTTGATAATCTCCCTTGTCCCATTTCTTGTGCCTTTCATGGAACTCAATTTTTTCTCTGTTTATGGTTAGTCTGAAACTGTCACCTGAAATCAGTCACTTGGGTCACCTATGGGTTGACTGAGCACTAACTCATGGAGTAAAAGCATCACGCAATTTGTGGCTAGGGCTGAGAAAAGGCACTTTGATGAGAAAAAGATGCCCAGAGACAACTGTGTCTCAAAGCAAAAGATCAAAGGGAATTCCTGATCAAATTCAAATGGGAGGCTTAATAATTCATTGAGAAGAGATGCGTCAGATTAAAGAATTCATTGTTGCAGAGGAATAGGGAAACCAAGAGCCAAAATCAGGTCCAGGAGATTGGACATTTCAAGGGACAGCAGGTACGTCTGGGATATTAAGCTCAGATCAAAATGAGTTGGAAAGGAGGGAAGGAAATTAGTACTGAAGGTAGCCTGATTTCTGCACTCTTGGCAGCGCTTCTTGGCGTTGCTGTAGTGGTGCCTGGGGTAGCAAAGGGTCCATCACAACCAGCTGTTCTCCTGGACCTGCTCATCTGGGCAGACTTCTGTAAGACATCTGACAAACTACAGAAAAAAAAGAAAAAAGGAAGAAAGAGAGAGAGGTTTTGGGTTTTTTTGCCTTTTTTTTTTGGCCCAGAAAAGGGACAGAAGAGGCTCAAAGGGCTGTGAGCCAGACAGCTCTCTGACTGTCACAAATTGTTACTGCCAAATAAACAGCATTGAGTTTTAGTCCAATAAAGAAGGGTACACACGCTCAGGCATTACTTAACCCCTGATTTAGGATGTTGTTCAATAAAAACAGGCCTGGTGGCTCTCTCTATCATCTCAGCTGCTGCAAAGCCCTCTGCTTCATCCATCCATCTCATTGTTTGGAGTTGGGAGCACAGCAGTGCCTCAGTGGAGGACTATTACCTGGGAGCTGCACTGTGGGTGGGAGAAGCCATGAGGGCAAGTCTTGTGGAAGCCACAGGTCACAAACAACTGGGGCAAGGGTGGGCTATGTCGTGGGTTGCTCTGCTGATAGGTATCTCAGAGTTGGCTCTACCTTGGCATCCATGTGGACATTTTGAACTGAAGCTGCTACAGGGTTGATAAGCACACAGTGATGGGTTTTGTGCCACAGAATCATAGAATCATTTGAGTTGGAAGGGATCGTTAAAGGTCATCTAGTCCAACTCCACTGCAGTGAGCAGGGGTATCTATAGCTAGATCTGGCTTCTGGTTACTTGGTTCAGTATTCTCTCCATGATGTAGAAAGAGCTATAGAATGCACTATAATTATTTCTATCCCTTGTACTAAAACTTGTGGCCTAAACTTAGAAACATGAAGTTTCTGAACTAGCTGATATCTCCTTTTTTTCTGATAATCAGTAATTATGGAGTGATTATTTAGGTAGGACAGATTCTGTGGCCTTCAAAGTACTTACTGAGTGTATATTGAGAGTTCTTGTTTCGTACCCATCTATCATGAGGGATCATCTACCTGGGGGTTAAGCATTCAAGATCAGGTTGAATGAGACCCTGGGCAGCCTGATCTGTTGGCTGACAATCCTGCCTATGACAGGGAGTTGGAACTCAATGATCTTCAAGGTCCACAGCATAAGGCATCCACAACCTCTCTGATCAGCAGTGCCAGTGCCTCACCTCCCCCTGAGTAAAGAATTTCTTTCATCTAGCCTAAATTTCCCCTCTTTTAGTATAAAGCCCTTATCACTAGCATAGACAAACTCAAATGAGCTTTTTGAGATGTATTTGCAGATTCTATTGTTGTGGTTTTTTTTTTCCTTAGCACATTTCTCTCAAGGATGCTAAGAGGAGATATTGATATGTATTTCGATAAGTAGTCATCTGGGTAAAACTCTGGCAAACATAGTAATTTCAGTGTGATGTCTCTCTTTCCATTAAAACAGATAGTCTTTGTGGACCATTTTAGGCAGAAAATGGCTTATAGACCTGGCAATTACCATAAAGTCTCCAAGATTCACTAAAATAAGATGTTGGAAATGCACAGCATTGTATAATTTGCACACAGCCATAGAAGGCAACATCAGAGGTGTGGTACAATCCATGCTGTGGGAAAATGGGAAAAGAAGAGAAGCCAACTCAGCACTGTAAGCAATAAAAAGTGCATTTCTGACAGTCTAATGTAGGGTGAGCCTCAGTTGATAGGATGAGAAGTAATGGCCTTAACTTGCACCAGCAGATGCTCAGGTTGGGTATTGGGAAATATTTCTGCTCTGAAAGAGTGGTGATGCAGTGGCACAGGCTGCCCAAAGATGTGGTGGAGTCACCATCCCTGGAGGTGTTCCAAAACTGTGGAGATGTGGCACTGAGGGACATGGTCAGAGGGCATGGTGGGGTGGGTTGGGGTTGAACTTGTGCATCTTAGAGGTCTTTTCCACTCTATGATGGGCTTAGTCTTGCTATTGCCCAACTGCTTAGATGCATGCAGTAGTGAGGAAGGGAAAGAGGCTGGTGCTCTGTGATGGTACAGTGGCTGACCAAACCCCCCCAAGAGCACAGGCTTGCTCTTGCCAAGTCACCCTAGTAAGAGCCTCCTCCCATGGCCCAAGCTGTCTGCATAGCCTCCTGTGAACAATGAGACAGATAATGCATCACTGCAGCAAAAACTGGAAAGACCTGAGAATGCCTTTAATGTGATTACAGAAGGGAGCCAACTCCTTGTGTACTTGGCCCGGCTTTCCTGGCACTGGCTGAGGAATGCTGGCACGTCAGCTCCTCCAGAGCTATTAGTGGTGTCGCACACTCCAGAGCTGCAGAGAATACGTGCACTGTGCTGCAGCAACCCTGGAGATGCCACCAGGCCACGTTGTTGCACAATGCCCACCAAACCAGGGCAGGACTCTGGTTTTTGGTCTGAAAGCTGGGCAGGCCAGACATTCAGAGACTTGCCAAGCCTTGCCACCTCCCCCTTATCCACCTCCCTTTCCTGCTCCAAAGGTTTGTTTGCACTTGCCTACGTGCAACCAAGGTAGGAACCTGGTAGCACTGACTGGGTGTAGTCTGTCTGGGAGGATGGACACCCCAAACACCCTGAGCAAGTCATAGTAACTCACGTACCCTTTTTACTGCCAGGAGTCTGTAGTGTGTGCTGCTCTCCCTAAAGCCATTTAGCTGCTGGACTTGAATCTACAACACTAATTCACTGTCATGTCTCACATCAATGCCTTCAGTTTTATGGCTTTTTACGAGGGTGGATAATCATAGGACAAGGGGGAATGGTTTTAAACTGAGACAGGGGAAGTTTAGGTTAGATATTAGGAGGAAGTTCTTCCATGCAGAGGGTGGTGAGGCACTGGAACAGGTTGCCCAAGGAGGCTGTGGCTGCCCCATCCCTGCAGGCATTCAAGGCCAGGCTGGATGTGGCTCTGGGCAGCCTGGTCTGCTGGTTGGTGACCCTACACATAGCAGAGGGGTTGAAACTGGATGAGCCTTGTGGTCCTTTTCAACTCAGGCCATTATATGATTCTATGATTCTGTGATTTGGATGCTGCTCTGAGCATATATCTTGCTGTAGGAACTCAAAGCGAAGAGTCTCCATGATCTCCATGCAGGTCTCCATGCAACAGAGAGATTTTCATCAGAGACCAAAGCAGCCTAGCGTAGACTCTTTCCTTCACAGCTTCCAGATTTTGGACCCATGAATTCTGCTATCGGCCCTACAACAACAGTGATTCTCTGACTCTATGAGGTGTTCAAGACCAGGCTGGATGGGGCCGTGAGCAACCTGGATGATCTTAAAGATCCCTTCCAACCCAAACCATTCTATCATTCTCTGATTTCCAGGAAAGTGGTGGAGTCACCATCCCTGGAGGTGTTCAGGAAAAGGGTGGAGGTGACACTGAGGGACATAGTTCAGTGGGCATGGTAGGGATAGGCTGACGGTTGTACAAGATGACCTTAGTGGTCTTTTCCAACTTTGATGATTCTGTGATTACCAATAAAAGTTGCACATAAACTGGAAAAGTTCCTGGCTCTGGGCTTGCAGCTATCTCTACCATTAAATGGGCAGTGTGGTCCCTATGTGCTTTTTGCTCAGGCCAAAGAGCCTTCTCCCTTACTCAGAGTCATCATGCATCTGAGATCACTTTCAACCAACAGTTTGGATGCAGACACCTTCTTTTGGAGGGTACAGCATGAATGTACATTGCTGCATGCATCACAGCATGAGAACAGAGAGAACAGTGAGCAGAGAACAGTGCAGGATGATATGATTCACCCGTAACACCTCTGCAAAGCATTGAGTCTCCACCACTTGGCTGGAAAAGCACCTTCAGCCTTGGGCACTGTCTGTAACCAATATCCTTCCTGTGGTCACAAAGATGCCCAGAGCTGAACAGCCAACAGCCAGCACAGACAAACGGGCCTTCTTTGGGAGATGTCTGCTTCAAGAGGTGATCCCCGTGCTCCTATTTCTCTGCACTGATCCCTAAGCTCAGATGACATGAAGCCCACTGAGGTGCATCTGTAGATGCAGCATTGTCACAGTGCCCTGACCCCCACCACAATGGCTACACCCCTCAAGGGACAACTTTCCTGACTAAAGCCATGCTAGCTTCTATCTTTGCTGTGCCCTAAGTGTACATTGGCATCTGTCATTCATAACTGACCTCAGCAACTGGCCGTGCTGCTCAGCATGTCCCACGCAATGGGGTACGTGAGGTGCACCTCGGAGCAAACAGACACTGCTGCTGTGCTGCAAGCTGAGGTTTCTCTGCTTTCGGCTGTGGCTGCTGGCACATACAGTGCAGAGGAGGAGAGACAGCATTCAGCCCATACCTGCCTGGCCCACACCATTGGCACAGCATGCAGAGGGCACAAATATTCATTTCCCTGCGGTCCACGAGTGGTAGCATCACCCCAGTGGACGTGACCTGGCAGAAGTGAATCCCACATCCCCAGTACTGAGGCAGCAGGCTGAGGGATGTGGGATGACCATTTGTAGCAGAAACATCTCAGGAGCATCCACCAAAACTCTTCTCTGACATCAAAGATGGGAAGAATGAGTTCAGCTTCCAGTGATTTTTTTCCCCAGATGGGAGAGAAGAGCAGAGGGCTGGACCATGGCTCCAGGATGTGTCTTTGCTAAATCTGGCTGGGAAAATGCTGGGATTAGAGATTGGACACATCTGGATCTGGCACCGAGAGCAGAATGCACACAGGATTCTGGAAAGGAGCAGGTTGGCCTGACCTGGGAGATTTGGTGTCCCAGGTCTCCAAGTTGCAGTAGGGGTGACATGCCAAGACTTTGCCTCCCTCATAAAATTAATGGGCTGTATAGGGCCACTGTGTGGTCTTGTACTTTATCACTGATCAGGGCTCAGCAGCATGCTGAAAGATTAAAAAAAAATAAAAAAAATTAAAAAAATTGAAAGAGAAAAATAAAAGAATAAGCCAAATTAAAAAAGAAAAAGAAGAAAGAAAAAGGGAAAAAAAATCAATCACATCATGGCCTGGAACAGCTGTACTGGAAATTCAGTCAAGTCTTCAAGCAAAAAGCTGATGATTTACCAGGCACAGAACAGCAATATACATATATATAT